CTGTTTCGGGTCAAGGGCTGAAGGGCTATTCCGTCCAATCGCGAAGTGTCTTCCGACTATCGTTCTGGCGACACTGGGCGAGATCTGCTGGTCAATCCGGAGGCCATTAGAAGAATATGTCATATCACATTGTTCCCATCCCTGACACGGAAGGCCTTCTGACCCGCGCAGTTAGCTCCGGATCAGCACAGGCACCCTCATTGACGCAGCAACGTCCTTAATCACGGCAGGTAGTCCAATAATTGTTACATAAACTCCAGTTCCGTGTTTTTCTGTATTGTTCGGAGATATTGAGTTCTCCCTGACCGTAAATTGTAAACGAAATGGGTTCCTTAGTTGTATTAGCATGGCTAACCCATGTTCATCTTAAGATGTCCAAGGTCCTGTCAGAACTGATTACTGATAAGAAAACTACATCATATGGTCTTGAACATGCGCGCTCGCAAGTCATAGCAACAACAGGCTCGACGCCCGGCGTTACAGTCTCTAGGCCGTGCGGCGTAGGCCTTGCGGCTGTAACATTAAGCGATGGTCAATGAGCAAACGAAAAAGATGACGCATCTTAAGGGAGATGGTTGGTGAACTAGGTAAATCGGCATGCATGTTTATCGTACTGGAAAAGTACGCCAGATGCAACCTTAATCCGAAAAGTAGGGGGGGGGGGGCAGTTAACATTGCTGGCTCCCCACTTTGAAAAGTTTGGAGGGGCATGACCACCTGGCCTCCTTGTACCCACACCCATGCCTTATATCTCAAACGAATAGGGCGCATGGACTCCCCGACATAGACTATGTCCCTCCCGTGTTTTTCACACAGTCTGCGCTCGATTTCGTAAACCAGGTTTTTTTGCGTCCAAACCTCTTGAAACCCAAAACTGCGTAAACGACACCTTTGCTACCCGGGCGCTTGAGATGGAAGATTTCACCACAGACTTATTAAGCTTATTATCGTTTTTCCAAGCTATGCTTGCGGGAAGTTTTGATTTTTTAACAATATGTTTGATTTTGCAAAGCAAGTGCTCATCTATGTAAGGTAGAGTTGAGAATCCGTCTTTTGACAGGACGCATTCCCGTCTCCTACCACCCATCCCACCACTCGCTCTTAACCTTTTTACTTTTCCACTGTTCCACCTAAAAGCTGCGGAGGATATCCGCTGCCCAATAGCAAAGCCCATATTCTTTTTATACTCTTTCTTTCCTTTCCACTATTTGATGAGCTGTTTAGAGCCCGATGGAACATGTTACGAATTATGTTGTGCTTAGTGGAAGTTGGATGCGCAGATTCGCAGTGCAGAATGATAAAAGAGTTGGTGGGCCGATAAAGAGCTCCGTTTCTAACGTTGTGCGGTTGTCCCTCCTCTCCACCGTCACCAGTTTATCAAAATATGGGACCCTCTTTCCGCCCCCTGTATGCTCCATTGTAAAAGCTAGATTTGGATGCTGGTTGTTCATGAACTCTAAAAAGTCTTCAAGGGCACGCTGTCTGTGCGTCCATACTCCAGCATAAGCACCGATGCATCCAGCTAAGGAAGTTGGTTTTAAGGGGCTGGCAGCCAGGGCCTTCGTTTCAAATTGATCTAAAAATATCGCCAGAGGAGGAGCGCATGGACTCCCCATCGCTGTTCCCAATTTTTGTCGGTGGAAGCCATCTCCGAACGAGAAAACATTAACCTGGAGGCATTGTTCCAAAAGACGGCAGATATCCTCTTTTAATGCGCCGAAAGCATCGATTTCATGGAAATGTTTGCCTACCTTAGCTTTTACGGCAGCGATAGCCTCATTGACCGGTATGTTGCTATATGATTGACAACATCTACACTGAAGAAAATGCTGCCTTCTGGTAAGCATCCTGTCTGAGAATGATTAGGCGCCTTTTTTGAAAAGTGTCTGGCGTCCCACGGATGAGTAAGAACAAGCCTAAAGAGCTGGTTGTGTATTTTGTCTAAAATACACGAAGTTTTTCTGTAGGCCCACCGCAGATTACCTTCTAAACGTACGAATTGACATCCCAAAGCGTTCAAAGATGCTTCCTTCAGAAACGCTGCCGTCTGCGTTTTCGTCTGCTCACCGGCCTCCGCAGAATGTAGACAAGAGGTCAACGCTGCGCGGCCAACGGGGACTACTACGCCGGACATCGGGGTTTTTGTTCTACGCCTTAAGAGCTCGCGTGTTCAAAGCTATGCTGTGTAATTTTTCTATTTCTCGGTTCTGAACAAAGGTTGAAAATTCCCAGACACATAGTGACTGTGTTGCGTTTTTCAGCGACCTGTCAGTAACCTGCGTTGCTCGTGACATTAGCATTATGGTTGTTTCCTTTGCCATGCATGTGAGCTGAAGCGGGTGAAAATTGCTTCCCTCTCAGTTACACAACAGCTTGGAACAAGGTCTCCCTGAAATACAGCTGGCTCGCAACGCGTGTTTGGATTAAGTGAGCGTGGAAAGATGTCGTCAAGAGAAGCGCATGTGCCTAAGCGTGTTGGGGACCCATTTTCTGAAATGATTTACTGTGGACAATATTCGGGTGAATGCGCAAATATGCACACCAAAAAATCAGAGACACAAAAATTATACAACGCATAACTCAATTTTCAGTTTACAGGAGAGAAGTGCATCTGCGCCTTTCAGCTTCACAAAACAAGTGCGTTTATACGAAATTGATGCAAACTGCCAGGCAACCATGCGTGATTGCTGTGGCTACGTACATGAGGTTAAAAAGGATGTGGCGAGATAAACACACACACACACACACACACACACACACACACACACACACACACACACACACACACACACACACACACACACACACACACGCATATATATATCTAAGACTCTGGCCCCCCAGTCATACTGAGAAATCGACACCCATAGCACAAGGGATACCATATCGGCAGGCTTTTGCATGATACATGTCTCAATGACAAAAAACGATGCCAATAAAAGTATGAAGGGATTCTTCCATCACTTGATGATTCAAATGGGAGTGAGATTCGGCTGAAGAAGTAACCAAAGCTAGGTAGAAAATTGTGTTTGGAGCAGCGGGGAGGAGAGGGGGGGGGGGGGGAGGGCTTGGAAGGCTGATTGCTGCTGCGGCGGATATGTGAAGCATCTAGCTGCACGCCACTTTAAAAATCTTAGCCTTCCTCAATGCGTTCGCAAACTCTTAAATTAATCATGACGGACAGTATTGCCCAAGAATCTCAGAAGCCTTTTCTTTCCGGCTACCGCCAATCAAATATGAAGGTTCCGGCACACACCGCCACTCACAGATGACGACATCCGTGACGAAATAGCCCACCATGCATTATGTAAGATGATGTGCTCACTGCTCTTCGTTACCACATTTGGGCCATAACAACATGGATGTTTTAACCATGTTAAAATGTTCCAAACTATGTTGCACCATATTCGTCAACGAAACTGACCCCGAGAAATCCATGCAGCCGGCATATGGTCCAGTTCGGAATAGAATATAAAACCGCACAGCCTACGGGCCTCCGTCGCGGTCATGCATTTACAGGCCCAAAATTGAAGGGCTGATCGCAAATATCAAGTGACCTGATCTGACCTGACCTTGTAAACATAAAGTCATTGATGGGCATGGACACCAAGAGCCGCATTGCTGTCAAATGGAGTAGTGATAAGGAGCCAGCCCCAGTGTCTGCATCTTCGTTTTTCATCCAAACAGGCATGAGGACGCCATTGCGGAAAATTTGCCAAAGCTGACATCTTGTCTGACCTATAAGGTCAACCAGCCGGAGCAAGTAAATGAAATGGAGATGAAATCAAGGATAGAAAACTTATCTACATGCTGGTGGTACCTGCATGTCATTACAGCTAGTGACCGCATATACGGAAAAAGTTGTCCGATTTTAGCAGTATGTTTCAAAAACTCAAAGTTGCTTCGCGCTTTTAACATGTGAAGTGGAATACGAAGCTAATGGTTTCCAACCTTTCTCACGCAAAGTGGAAGCCAAGTCAGCAACTCCAGGCCTAGAAAATGCAAAGCCAAAGCCGAACCCATCACTTTAAGATCACGAGGCCGAAGCCTAAGCTAGCTTTAGTGTGCAGCGTCGTTTTGCAAAACTGAAACTATTTTCGTGTCTGCTAAAGCTAACGAGATCCAGAAGCATCATCATCAGAATTTAACCGCATGATTGAGACAACGCATTAACATAACAACTGGAAGAATTGTTTGAACGATCATCCGTGGCATTTATATCAGCGTGCACACGCCGTGTCGTACAGTTAGTCCTCCGTCCACGGTCAGACGTCAATTTGTCCGGAGAATGACTAGCTGGTTTTGGCTTTCTCACAAAGCTGTGTGAAGGTATATGCACGTGAAGGTAAGGTGCAAATATATGAAACTGAGAGGACGAGCATGTATGCGCTCGCGAAGAGAAGTCTCAATTAAAGTGAAAAAGTCACCGTGATAGGGCTAACGACAGCAGTTTGAGACCGCATAGAGTCAAAATCAGGCCCACAATTCATACATTGACCAAAACTGGAGCCGATGTCCGCTACTTCAAAAGATTCAATGTCGAAACTAGTCGTGAAAAACAGCACAAAGCCGAAGCTGAACGCGAAACGATTGAAGGAACGCTGCGGCTTGTCTCCCTCCCTCCCTCTCTCCCTGGCTCTCTCTCTCTCTTTCTCTCTCTCTCTCTCCCTCTGTCACACTCTCTCCCTTTCTTTCCCAGTATCTACTTCTCCCTCCCATTTTCTCTCTTTCCCTGTCATCCTCCTTCCCTCCCTCACCCTATTCCCTATTCTCTCCCTCTCTCCCTCCCTTTTTCGCTTTCCCTTGCTCCCGGGTCAGGCCGCATGCAGTGACCCGGAGCATGTGGCGGCGCTCGCTACGAACGGGGGCGGCCACGAGCACGGGTCGCCGCGGGGTCGCCGTCGATCGATCGATCGACGGCGCGGCCAGTGACGTCACGTTTCCAGGGCGACGGCAGGCCGGCAGGCGGAGCGATGCTGCGCCGCCAGTCCGCCCGCAGGGCTCAAGGGACGACCATGTTGTTGGTGACTCTGCTACTGCTGCTGACGGCCAGCCCGGCTCTTTTCATGCGCTTGTACCCGCCGGGGTTGCCGACACAGTTCTACAGGGATCTCGGCAATGTTATCGTCGACCAGGTGCGTGGGGCAGTGGAGGCGGAAAAACAGGCCATATGTTTAACACCCACTCGAGTGGGGTCAACATGACCCCCCGAAGGTTTTTCTAGAATGGTTTCCGAACGACGTGGCGCAACCGTGCCGAATTTTACATAGCTGTAGATAATTGCATGGTGGATCATTTGGTCTAAAAAAACAGTTGTATCTTGTAAGGTCACTGACCTATTTCAGGTCAAAGTTAGACCATGGTTTCAGCGAAGTCAGTGTCTAGGAAATCGTTTAATCTTTTGTAACAACGGAGTGTTAGACGAAGACATAAATATCTCATATGCTTCCTTAGGCAACACAACAATTGAGTGGATATATTGCATTGACCTAAGGTCAGGTATTAAGGTCAGACCAAGATCAAAACCAACCTGGTTTGTTACGCTTGGCCTACCAGTGTGGAATAATTTCTGGTGCTCATTTCGAATTTATTGATAGCAGGAACCACATTCTACACCTTCTAGGGTCTTCTAAGAGGTCAGAATAGGTCCTTGGCCCAAAATAACCCAGGTCGGCATTTTGTTTTTAGGAACATACTGCCTAGCGTAATCTTTATGTTTTTTTCAAATTCAAAATTCAGAGCAGTCTTGTATTATTTTGGTTACCATGACCTCCAAAAGGTCAAACAAGGTCACTGACCTCAAATGAGCATTTGGCCTTTTCTTAAAAATGGTTATATAGGTTCTATGCCGCTCTTGGACACCAACCTAAAATATGACCTCGTTTCACCTTATTTGACTCGAAGGTTATGACCTAGGAATCTCAAGCTTTGAGTTAAGTGAGTTCACGTACAGGCCAACACACCCCGTGAATTTGGTGTCTCTAGCTCTCTTAGTTCCCGAGATCTCAGTGGGGGTCAAACTGACCCCCCATCCGGGCGAAGGGCATCCAGTCGGCCACCTGCGTGCGTGTTAAAGGCAGGATGGATAGCGCTGGATCAAAGAAGCTCCAGCATTTGTGGGCATTGCTTTTGGTTAACCATCAATATGCCGCTCTGGCCAATTCAGGAGGATTATGTTTCTAGGGCCACCTGTTGTACTGCCTCTACGCGGGGGCAGGGCCATCAATTTTAATCAGGGAGCCAGGTAGTAAAAACGTCGCGACACTTGAATGATAAGAAATGAATCCCTCAGTGGCGCCGCCCCTGCTCCTGCGTCTCCGTGGAAACGATTGACCGATCACGCACTCATGCGATGACGGCGGTGCAGCAACTTTGGCAACGACATGGATGGCATTGCATTCGATAGTTTTTTTTTTTCTCGAATGGTCTGCGTGCTGACTTTACAGGCGGAGGCACATGTCATGGCAAGCTTGCTGCTTGTTCTTCGGCAAGCTTGCCCATGGGTCTAGTTCCAGCCATACCCGGAGCTTACATCGAACTGCTGACGGGTGAATCAAGCAAAGACTTGGGGCCCACCGATGTAAGGAAACGGGGAACTGCGTCACAAGCAGAAGCCTAAAAGACAAGAATAAAACTAGACTCCCAATCTTCTGAAAACTTGAGGCTTTAATTTCAGCTCAGAGCCAAACGAACATACCGACCGAAGCAATGAAAAGTCCCAGCTCAAACCAATGGCAAAAAAGGACATTATCTTGAGCTTTACTTGATGTCTTATTTATCGTTCAGCGAATGTACGCTAGTCAGTGGTCTCAGCTTACGCATGAATATTTTTTCTCACCCACCTTAGACTCACATCTAACAACTGTATTGGACTTTGAGGAACATTGAAGGCTCCTTGGGTGACTTTGACTTACATCTAACGATCGAAACATTGCTGAGAATTGGAAGCAATGACACTGGTGGAGTGTGGAACCAAGATGGATTCGAACTCCGGCACAAGATTGTAGGAGACGGACTTGAGCTCACGTGCTGCGAACCTTAATAAAGGCTTTGGAGCTAAGTACTCTAGATCGTACATGACACGTTGAAGGAATTGGCTCAGGTTTCTGGCTCCAACGCAATGCACCAGAACTTGAGCTCGTCCTGGAACTTATAATAGCGTAGATTTCTGGCTACCGTTGGACGGGCTTATACGCTTTAACTTGTCCCCCAAATAGCTCTTATACTTAGAGACACCTCAGACTTGTTTAGGGTGTTGTCAGTCCAGAACAGCATTTCAGGTCGGATGCATGTGGACAATGAACAATGAAATGACTTGGACAGCTGCGATACGGCCGCATGAAATTCGTACACGGCTGCGTGGGTAGATTGGAGCCCGTGTTTACCATCCTGAAATCATGACATATTCTGCCGAATAAAAGTTGAATAACGGGATATTTCCTATTACAATTGACTCAAGTTTATGTTTCATGAGCACAACAATATGCGGTCGCGGTTTGAGGATCTGCAAGATGATTTGATATGCGATAACAAGTAGTTTGATGGAAACATTTTAGGAGGAACGTATTCATAATCATGGCATCACCAGACGCCAGTGATCTTATATATTGTGTATCATGTCATGCTTAACACCATTGGCTCCTGCATAGGAAGAATAGAAAGTCAGGAGGCAGCCCATAGGCGTCGTGACGAGAGGAAATAAGCCGCCATCTCATGACAGCTGACGTGCGGCCGACCAGCCACTGAATCCGAGGCCCAGCTTATCACGCGAGGCGGGTCAGCGGGCCTTGGGACGGCGTCAGCGGCGGAGGTGGACGCTGGTCCGGGGGAGGGGCACACGGTTGCCCCGGCCGGGTGAGGTCTGCCCCAGGACACGGCACGGCCTGTAACGTGATATTGGCGCTGAGCCATTGCATCGGGGTATAATATGACGACAGTGGACTAGCACATTGTCCCTCGGCTGCAACGGTAATAAACGACCGATAAATGTCATCTCTCCGCTAAATGATCGTGTTCCTTATGCCGAGTGCTAAAGGGTTGTCCCATATGTCCGCGAAATGATGATTAGCTATAAACGTAAGTAAGTAACCGTAACGCACACTTCGGTTCATCTTGCAGTAAATGTAAATGATGCGCGATCTCAGACCGCCGTTTTCTCAAGTCCAATGAACAAACTTTTGAGGCAATTTCAGCGCTGCATGGTTGCAGATGGTTGGGTTTCTTTGGATCGACCAACGTTCAAAGGCCAGCAGGATTAAGCCAGACAGAGTGAGCGGGGCACGGGACAGCCATTTCCGGTTACCATAGCTCGGCGAGAAGAGGCATTTATGCTGTCTGGCTAGAGGGTCCAGCCGAAATTATCCTTTGAATCTCAGCCCCGCGTGGTGCTTAGACTTCATGCAACTCACTTCACGTGACACCGAGTTCAAATGCATTAATGCAGACCGATTCAACTCAACTTCAGCGGAAGACTGACTGGATTCCAGACCATTTGGTGCCGCTGCCAGGGTGGCCGACCGCCGGTCTCCTCGCGACGGGGCCCAACTGCCCCTCGCCGGCGGTGTCTCACTGGGCGTGCCGTCTTGCAGATGGACCTGCCGAGCATGCCATCGCCGCTGAGAGAGGGGCACTGGCCGCGCTCGGAGCTGAGGGTCGGCCAGGCGGCCGGCATCTCCGTCGACTTGAATGACCGGCCGCAGGTCTTCCACAGGGGCAACGTCACCTGGGACAGCACGTGAGTGCAAATGACGGGGCAGGGTGCAGAGCGCCATCAGCCGGTGTTCTTAATTCAAGGATCGCCTTCGGGCAATGAAACTGCAGTGCAGTGCGCGCATAAGTCAAGTCAAAATGCATCGTACACATTTCGAGAGGAAATAGTTTGTGTTTATACTATCCAGTGAAACTCTAGACAAGCCTTCGCCGATTCCCAGCCAGGGAACAACATATTAATAGATGCCCCTTTGCCGGTAGTAATGAAATAACGAACCACCCCAACATCTCAAATGAGTACGACAAGTGCTGCTTGTTTCAGTTCCGAAATGATATTATACTTAGCCTGGGCGTAAGGCAAACGGGAATCATAGTCTTCCACCATTTTGGATTTCATTGACGATTTCGTACCCAAACGAATCTGAACCCGCAGTTCCTTCAACCGGAGCCATCACTACCAGCACCGGGGCCGCGGGCCAATCCGTATCGCAACCCTGCTGACCCTGGAGAAGGGCACTGGTGCCGTGTTGAGGTCGGAGGGCGCTGGCCGCTTCTACCTGCCGCACGGCCTGCACATCGACGGCGAGGGCAACCGCTGGGTCACCGACGTCGCCATGCACCAGGTGTTCAAGGTGCGTGAAGGCGCGGTGCCTGGGGAGAAGCCGGTTCCCCGACCAGTGCTAAACGCAGGCGGAAAACTTGCAGCCCCTTTCGATCCTTTTCGTAGTCTTAGTGTGAAGGGAAGCCTTCATCTGGTGCGCGGCGGAAACGGCGAAGTGGGCGCAAGGGGCGAGGAACAGCGGAAAGAGAAACATTTTTGGCGAGAGCAGTGTCAGGGAGGGAAAAACGGCGAGGAGGCGCGTAGCTTGAAGAGCGGGGTGCCGAGCTGTGTACGCTGTTGGAGGCCAGCAGGAGTGACGTGCTGCGTGGCTCAAATATATAACATTTTTGAGATCCGCTAGCTGCTTCTTACACTAAGATATCATGATTGGCGCGGATCTGAAAAAATCATATTTTAACCATGGCGTCCTTTATGATACTGGAGGCTTCCGACCGCCGAGAGCGGCCTCTGTGTGCGGCTCTGCATCGAGCTTGCCACGAATTCTTCGAATCACTCGTCAACAATATGCTAAAGCAACACAATTGTATCTAAGTCGCCCTCTCCCCTAATTTTCGGTTCGTTCTCGATGCGCAATTCAGTTTGGAAACAGTGTTATGCCTGGACCTGAATGGGCGAGCCGCACGAGGTCAATTTCAACGACGTTGGGTGGCTCTGATCGCCGGTGAAGATTCGCCGTCATTACCCTTAGGACCCATCTAGCCGACGTCTGAGCAATGCTGCTGGGAAAGATAGAGAAGATTAGGTCGATTGGATCCCAAGTTGAGTTGGGGCGGTTCTAATTACTGGGACAGAGCGGCAGGGAGGAAGCCCGCGTTCTAGCCAGGCTGCATGGCTCAAAATGCACCGATCTCTAAAGTGCCGCTCGTCCGGGGAGGCGGGACAACCACAGCATTGCGAGAGGTGTTTGTCAGTTTGATGCTCCCGGCATCCCCACAGCTCCAGGATGCGTTTGAGCAGGCGTACGGCTGAGCCATGCTCCGCGCCAAATGTGCCAAACACGTCGGCTTTATGTATCTGGATGTTTGTAAATCATGTGGGCACCAAGGGACATGTACAGCCGAGGCAACCAGAAACCAGAACCGTCAACATTAACCACGATCAATTGTGGTCCGGTTTTTGACTTACCCTCCCTGCCGTTGGTTCCGGACGCGCCCCTGCGCGCCCACCTGACCTGACACGCCCCGGGCAGCTGCCGCCGGACTCGGACACGCCCACCCTGACACTGGGCGTGGCCTTTGAGCCGGGCTACGACGACGCCCACTTCTGTAAGCCCACCGACGTGGCCGTCGCCGACGACGGCACCATCTTCGTGGCCGACGGCTACTGCAACAGCAGGATCATGATTTTCAACAGGGATGGACGCCACCTCGGCAGCTTTGGAGAGAGAGGTGAGTGCCGAGCCCGCTGCCGGCAACACGCCCCTGAGCGTAAGGACCGCAATGAAGGCAACCATACTGGGCCTTCTTCTCCTTAGCTCTTAGCAAGATGGACGTGACTGACAATGTCTCTGTTTTCCTATCAAATACTTGTTTCTGTTCTTGTAACCAGGGACGTTGTTCTCTATTCATTTGGCGGTTTTTAGCGTATTTTATCAAGAATGTGGGGCAAATTTTGAGAAAAATCTGTCCTAGCATGTTGTGTGATAGGCTTAGCCATTGTCTCTGCCCAGCTCGCCCAACCTTTTTGCGAGATTTCTCCCAGCTTGTAACCATATTGGCAGGCGTATGGTCAGACAAGACAAATCAAACAGATTCGGAATATGCTGTGCTGTACCGCACCATTAAAAAAACATCGCATACCTGCATCTCGCTAACCAGCATTCTCAGCGCGTTTGTTTAGCTGTGTTCCCCCTCAATGACGAATTTCTGAACAGCCACTGCGTGTACATGCATACATGCGCACCACGTTGTCATTACGCCGCGTCATACACGGCATACGCTCATCCGGGCTCCTGGCCGCCGTCAGAGGGCATGGAGTTCGTGGTGCCGCACTCGCTGGCGCTGGAGGGAGCCGTGCTATGCGTGGCCGACCGCGAGAACAGCCGGCTCGTCTGCTGGAACGTGCGCGAACCGTTCGTGCAGCCACAGGTCGTCGACCTCCAGGTGTACGGACCGGTGTACGCCGTGGCGCCGGCCGGTGAGTGCCGCCCGCTACCCCCGGGGGGATGGGGGATGGAGATGTCAAGACGGGGGTGACAGCACGGGGACGAGGGCCAAGGTAAGCTCGAACGTGGCATTGGTGTGGATGGAGAAGTGCTGTAGAACGAGATAGCACGCAAGCGGGCGCTGAACATGCATTCTGCGGCCGCTTGTATCATTACAATCGTTGTTGTAACAAACAACATGTCGTTGTTTACCGTAATGTTGGGCCGATCACTCATACATTTGAGCCGCTCAGCTATGAAATGAGCCGTTCCGTGATGTGAGAGCATGATATATATTTCTGCGCTTCTCCCTGGAGAGACTCCCTGTTCCCGGGCGTGACTTGAGCATTGGCATATGCTGAAGGGCGGCTCTTTCAGGGGCCGTCCTCTTCACGCTGCACCACGGTCGGCGTCACCCCTCCGCTCTGACTCTTGACCTAGCCACGGGACGTGTCATCGACAACTGGCCCGCAGCAAAGGTGAGAGCCCTCCCATACCATACTGCTGCCCCCTCCCCCCCCCCCCACCTCTTGGTAGAACAGGGAGTCCATCCCCAACACCAATTATTGCAAGCGAGGGAGAAGGGGGGGGGGGGGCGTGAAGTGTGCTTCTCTTTGTGGTGATGACCCGCATCATTCGAATAATATCCGAATGATGCGGGTCGTGGATGCACAACATTAGACATTAGGGCTTGGGTGAAGACTGCATTTGGTGTCAATAGCTCTTTTCATGCTGCTATTATCAGACATGGACTTAAGTTCGTACCAAGTCTGAAATAACCGAAAACGAGGAAAAATAGAAGCTAGGGGTGTACGTGCATAGAGACCTCAGGTGTCACGGCTGTCCGTTCGTATCCTTTTGGATGGACCACTGCCCCCTCCCCAAAGTCGAATTTGCCTCTCCCCACGGTGAGTATGCCCCCGAACCTTCTGAAGTCTAGGTAAGTTCATGTAGAACATTAAGATTGAAGGCTTAAAACTACATGCATTTTAAAATCCTTATCATTGTTTCACGGGTAAAAGAAACAAAGAAAGTGCAGACTGCGATGTAATTTTCAGTTGAGTGCAGCTGGCGGAGCGCGTTAAACTTTTAGAGCGTTTGTACCATGCATACGCGACCATTTGCTGTTTTTGCTGCATTCTGAATGTTTTAACTGCATAAGTTTCTGATGATTACTTCACGGTCAAAAGGAGTGCAGCGGACCGAGTTTCTCAAAACCTTGGAGCTCAGCGTTCATATCGCGTTTACTGAAGCATTTTCTGTTTTTGCTGCATTCTGCATGTTTTCATTGCATAATTCACGTCTTTATAATGCTGGTCTTGTTTTGCGTTATTGCCTGAGAGTTTTGCGTTATCCAGCGAGGTGTGAAGTTCCGTAGCCTACAACAAGCTGTGTTCGCCGCGATATTCTGCCACGGGTTATCGGAAAATCAAACAAACCGGTCGAATATCAGCAACAACATGCGTGACGAATTTGCCAGCCGCCACGTTCAGAAGAACCTGTAAAATATGCCGATCTCCATTTCGACGTGAATGTTCAATGGAACAGTAACGAAAGCCTGACAACCGACACCACGCGAGTTGACTGACAGCCTCTGACAATGATCCTCTAACAATGGTCAACAAAACAATACCAGGCGTTTCGAACGCGCCTGTCGCCCCCGCAGGGGCACCGGCTTCGGTCGGTGTAGGGGACTAGCCCCCCCCCCCCCTCGGGTCCCAGCTGCGGTAACGGGTGGACAGCGCAAGCTGCTCCTCTCAGAGCGTAGCGACCCTGCCGGCGCGTGAGCTCCTGCTCCTTGTCCCGCCCGCTCCTTTCCCATTACTCGGTTTCCCGCATCCGACCCTATCACCACTCCTCATCCTCGTTTTATCGGGGTCACCTTCCCGCATCCGTCCCTATCACCACTCCTCATTCTCGTTTTATCGGGGTCGCAGTGTCCCCTTGCCCGCGTCCCCGGGTTGATCGGATGCTAGTGGCTGAGGGGCGCGTCGTGCGGGTTAGTCACGGCGCGTCTCATCCCTCCACTTCGGCCAGAATATCTGGGAGCGCGGGGATCCGTGGGGCCCCACACGGGTCTAGCGGCTTGTCGCTCGCGCTACGACTGGGTGCTTCGTGCGGGTCTCCACTTGGGCGCCTGGTCGTGCGCAGCGGCTTAAGGGGTCAAGGGGCGGCGGTGCTGAACCACGGTCAGGACGGGGAGTGGTCTCTCCGGATACACCTGGCCGTGTGGGAGGCGTTGTTCGCCCCGTATAGCACCGAGGTTGCCCTGGCGGAACCACCACCCCCTGGGTGAGTGGTCCCCAGTTGGGTTCCGAGGTGCGTGGGGAGCCTCGGCGCCGAATACTTAAACCATGCGTGCATGGCAACTTCAATCCAAAAGACAACCACACCCCGAAAGGGGGGCGGACAGAGAGTACAGGTGGTAGTGCGTCAGCGCCTACCCCTGGAATCTTGATTTTTAGAAACGCCGAGAAGGCGCTGTCGTCCCTTTCGCCCTTTCAAAGGCAAAATGGGTGTGATCGGTTTGGACAGGTGTTCCGATGCGATAAGCTCAAGGACGGTGGTACCGAGGTTAAGTTTCAGAGCGGAGAGGAGGCGAAAGGGCTATGACTTCGTTTTGACGTGTCAGTGGCGATGACCGTTGAGGTTCATAGGACAAAGAACTCGTCAAGTGGTATCATCAACTGTTTTGACCCGAAAGATGTCAGTGATGAGGAAGTAGTCGACGGCCTCGCCGAGTTCGGGATAACAGGTGCTCGCCGCACCAAGGTGTGCAGGGTTGCGGAGTTGGTCTCCACCAACAACATCGTACCGACTTTTAACCGTCCTGACATACCATCTGAAGTAAGGGTAGGCTTTGTGAAGGTAAAGGTGCGCCTTTCTATTTCGAACCCCATGAGATGTTCTAAGTGCCAGATGTCTGGACATCTCGCCGAGGGATTTCTGCCGTAACCAGCCAGCATGAGGAAAGTGTGCTTCTCCGTAGCACCCGAATGATCAGTGCACTGCAGCGAGCCCTTGGTGTGTGAACTGTGGGAAAAACCCAAAACCCCATTCTACTTTCGATCGTGCATGCCCGGCTTACGCCAGAGAGAAGAAGGTTATTGCACTGAAAACCACGAAGAACATCTCGTTTCGTGAAGCGAGGAATCTATATGAACTGAGCCACCCTAAGACATCATATGTCACAGCGGCCAAGGCTCCTGTCGTACCTAAAGTCTCCTTAGATCGGATGACTAGAACGCAACTCATTAAACCGCTTTTATCGTTGGGGCTGTCGGTTGTGCTGGTGTCGCAGGTGCACACCACGGTATCGGCAACATCGTCGTCCCCTGGGTCGTTGATACCCTGCGCCCCTTCTGAGGCGCAGGCCAGCTCGCCAGTTGTTAGCTTGCCGTCTCACCCCTCCCCGGTGCCGGAGCGCCCGGTGCCCGCCATGGTGCCGACCTCCGCGGCATCATCTGACGCGCCGGCGGAGGGAGAGGGATGGACGGTCGTTCAGCATGGCCGGGGCCTGCGGACTTAACCGGACTTTGCCGGACTTTACGGACTTTGGAAGAGCGCTTGAAACCCTAGAGCTTCAGGAGGCAGCCAGGCGCGCCCGTGAAGCTATGCGGGCGCGCCTGGCTGAACAGGAGCGAGCCAAAACAGCCAACAGGCTGTCAGGAGCGGGCAAGGAGCCTGCTCTCCGGAGCAATAATCCCTCACCGCGAAGACCGGTTGAGCCTCCACCTCGGCACCAGGTGGTGGGCAGGGGCTCAGTGATGGCCCCTCCTCCGCCATCACCACGTACGGGATATGCTGACTCCAAGCGAAACCCGTCTGAGCCCTTGTCCCCAAGTGATGGGGGTAGCCTAAGGCCCCACCCCAGGCCGGGGCACCGATCTGTGGAACTGGGTTCCAGATCTTAGATATCTGGGGCTTCATCTGCAGCGGCGCAATTCTTTTAAATATCATCTTTTTAGTGTGATATATTTCATCTTCTTTTAACGTCCTTATACAGATGTTTTTACAGTGGAACTGCAGGGGAGTAAGGGCTAATGCGCTCAACCTCCAGGCTCAGGATGGCCGGAAGCGTCCCGCAGCTGTGGCTCTGCAAGAAACAAAGCTGGCACCGAACTCCTTCTTCGCGTTAAAATGCTACACAGTTTTCCGCAGTGAAGAAGTACACATGGACTTTTCTTCTACCGAACAATGTCATATAATGATCCCTTTACCATGGTCGAATTAAAACATGCTATCAGCATGCTGCATTGCGTGCCAGAGGGTCATGATGGTGTGCATAACAACATGCCTCGGCATCTTCCTGGTAGCATGTTGGAAGTTTTGCTGACAATCTTTAATTCATTTTGGACTAGCGGCGACTTTCCGGTCTCATGGCGTCAGGATACTGTGGTCCCTCTTCTGAAACCAGGGAAAACTGGTTTAGATCCCCTACATTATCGACCCATCGCACTCACACCGTCACTCTGTAAGTTGATGGAGAAAATGGTAAATGTCCGACTCACATGGTTCTTAGAACAGCATGACGTCTTTACTAAAGCACTCTGCGGTTTTAGGAAGAATCGTAGTACGCTGGACCACCTTTTAACACTCGATACTATGATCCGACAAGGTTTCAAAGGGAAACGTCATGTGGGTGCTGTCGTTTTTATCTTAAAGCCGCTTGTAATACCACGTGGTGACGAGATATTAAAACTTTTCCCCTTAAAACTTTTCAAGCTTGGCATACGTGGTCGCACGGGCACCTTGTTGGATAATTTCTTGGCTGAACGCGTCTTCCGTTTGCCTGTGGGTAACGGGATGTCAGCACCTTTTCAACAGGTGAATGGTGTGCCTCAGGGGAGTGTTTTACGTGCGGCGCTTTTTGCTATCATGATAAACGACAACGTTGACGTCATACCGCAGTCAGTCGGCCGCGCTCTCTTCGTAGATGATTTCTCCACATGGAACAGCGCATCAAGAACGCATGTAATGGCGGGCCAGGTCCAGTTGGCTGTTGACCATCTGGAAAGGTGGAGCACCATTAATGGGTTTCGGTTTTCCACCGTGAAAATGGTCACCACTCACTTCTGTCGCCGCCGTCAATGCGGTGGCCTGGCTCTCCGTCTTCACGACCAACCCGTTTCTACTGAGTCGGTAACAAGATACCTTGAGGTATATCTCGACAGTCGTATCACATATAAAGCGCATTTTAAAGCCCTACGGGACAGATGCTTTAAACCTTTAAACGTCTTAAAATGTGTGGCACGTACGTCATATGGTGCGGATAGGAAACCATTCATGCTTTTATACCGTTCATTTATCCGTTCTAAGCCTGATTACGCATGTTTTGTATATGACAGCGCAAGTGAGTCAAGAAAGTGTCCATTGGATACTATCCACCACACATTGCTCCGCATCATCACAGGAGCGTTTCGAACGTCACCTGTCGCAAGCTTCCTTGTTGAGGCCAACGAGCCGCCGCTGTCGGCTA